CACCCAGGGACTTAAGGACCCTCCAGTGTTTGATGAACTGTATACCACTACTTGCCCTCCCTGCCTTGAGGGCTTGGTGTGGGAGGTTTAGAGGGAGCCGGAGTGTTGTGAAGTTACTGGCATTACAGACCTACTTATACTAAAATTCACATTGTCTAGTCAGTTCATCTTTGGTCAGAACTATGTATGTTAGAACTCTGAAGGGGATGTTTACATTCTGAGGAGTACATAAAAGATCAGAATGAACTATTCTGATGCAATAGTGTAAGGGTCAACCCTCTGTTTCTTGTGACATTTGTTTATTCAGAAGATTGCCATTGAATTAAAGTTGGCAAACTTTCCCTCTAACTTCATGAAAAATTTAAAATATACAAAGACTTTTAAAGAATTGTAGATATCCATTTGTCTACTATCTAGATTATACAGGTGCTAACTTTTTCGTGCATTTACTTTATCATGTATGTGTCCATTGATCAATTTTATTTTTAGCATTTATTGAAGTATTACTTACATTCCATTAAACTCATCCATTTTAGAGTGTACCAGTAGAAGAGCTGTAGTAAATGTAAACAAATATATAGCCATCACCACAAGTTATAGAACATTTTCATCAGCCAAAACGTTCCCTTATATCCATTTGTAGTTAGTCCCCACTCCCAGTCCCAGGAAACTACTGATCATCTTACTGTCTGCATAGATTTGCCTTTCCTAGAAATTTCATATGAATTGAATCTTATAGTATGTAGTCTTTTGTGTCCGGCTCCTTTCACTTGACATGTTTTCAGGGTGCATCCATGTTGTATCACGTCAGAAATGCTTTCTCCTACTGCCCAGTGAGGATTTGCCACTGTGTGGATATACACCACACTTTGCTCGTTCACTGTCAGTCGGTGCGCATCTGGGTTGGTTCCGGTTCCGCGTGAAATATGCTGCTGTGATGGTTTGTATAACGGGCTTTGCAGGGACATTTCTTCATTTCTCTTGGGTAGATATCTAGCAGTGGAATTGCGTTTAGCATTTTAAGAAACTGCCAAACTGTTTTCTGAGGAGACTCTGCTATTTTACATTCCCACCAGCATTATATAAGTGTTACAGGTTCTCCACCTGCTTGCTAGCACTTAGGTATTGTCAGTCTTCTGTATCATTCTAGTGGGTGTGAAGTAGTATCTTGTAGTTCTAATTTGCATTTCCCTAATAACAAATAATGTTGAACTTTTTGAGTTGTGTGAATTCTTTATATGTTCTGAATTAAGTTCTTTATCAGATATATGATTTGCAATGATTTTTTCTCTTGCAAATAATATATTTTGTGGCTCGTCTCTTCCATTTTCTTAATAATGTCTTTTGAAGAATGAAATTCAGTTTTGATGAACACCAGTATATCACATTTTTTCTTTTAAGGGTTGTGCTTTCAGTGTCATATCTAAGAAATCTTTACCTGAAAAACCAAGATTGCAAAGATTTTCTTCTGAAAGTTTTATAGTTTTCAGTTTCATTTAACACTGTGAACTATCTTGAGGTAATTTTTGTGTGACATGAACTAATAAGCATTTAAGTTCTGTATTTTGTATAGTGATGTTCAGTTATTCTGGAACCATTTGTTGAAAAGACTGGTTTATCTGTTGAATTACATTGGTACCTTAGTAGAAAATTAATCATAAGTGTATGAGTTTACTGTTCTGTTACATTGATCTGTATATATGTCTGTTCTTATGCCAGTACCCACTGTCTTGATTACTGTAGCTTTTTAGTAAGTCTTGAAGTCAGATGGTGTAAGTGTCTTCCAACTTTGCTCTTTCAAGGTTGCTTTGGATATTCGGGGTTCTCTCCATACATTTTAGGGTCAACTGTTAATTTATACCCTGACCCCTGCTTTGATTTTGATTAATTTTGATTGCTGTGTTCTGTCTCGAGCTGCATTATGGTAGCTCTGATCACATGTAGCCATTGAGCATTTGAAATGTGGCCAGTTTGGATTGGGATGTGCTATAATTATGAATACAATGGACTTTGAACAATTAGATGAAAAAAGATGTAAAATGTAGTTCATTAATAATTTTCAATGCATTAACATTGAAATATTTTAGATATATTCAGTTAAATAAAATATATTTATCAATAAAATTTAATTTTTATTTGCCACTGTAGAAACACATTTGTGATCTTTATATATTGGCATTCTATTTTTTTAACCTTACTAAACTTACTCGTTCTACTGGTAGTTTTGCTTCTTTTTTGTGTGTTGTTTTTTTCTTTCCCCCATGCTTTATGAGGGCCTTCAGTACAGTGTCGAATGAAATGATGAGTGGTCTTCCCTGTCGTGTCCCTGCTCTTAGCATTCACTGTGTTGTTATAGAGTATAATGTTTTCCTTAAATACCCTGTATTAGATTTAGGCAGTTCAATTTTTCTTCCTAATTTGCTAAGAATTTTTATCTTGAGTGATTCCTCAGTTTTGTCAAATGAGTTTTCTTGTGTCTATTGAAATGATCATTTGGGGTTTTTCTACTTTTCCTTTGTTAATTCAGTGAATTGCTTTAGGCGTTTTCACATGTTAAATCAGCCTTTTATCAGAGTTGTGTTAGCTTCATAAAGTGAATTTGAAAGAGGTATTCTTTCCTGCTCTCCTTTCTGAAAGTGTATTCAGAAATGGAAAAAGGCCTCATACATAAATAAGACTTTTAATTTTCTTTTTTTTTTTTTTCATTTATTTTTATTAGTTGGAGGCTAATTACTTTACATCATTGCTGTGGTTTTTTTAATTTTCTTATTACATGTTGATCTTATAGAACCGCAAATTTGTCTTGAATGTGACATGGTCATGTGTCCTTCCCAAGTCATTAAGTCTATTTTGGTTATCAGTGGTTGTTTATCACCCTTTTTGGAAGAGGTTTGACCTCATTATAGGTTCTTCTTGGGGGGTTTCCCTGGTGGCCTAGTGGTTAGAATTTTGGGCTTTCACCACCATGAACTGAGATCTCACAGCTTTGTGGCACAGCCAAAAATGAATGAATGAATGAATGCTCTAGGACCTACTTGATAATGCATACATAGGTACATACATAGATACTTTTAAGTCCTTCTTGGTAATACATAATCCTAACCACTCACAGGTTATTAGTTGCTTGATCAAAACAGTCCAGCAATAGTTTGTCTTGGTTCTGCTGGAAGACTCTTGTTTTCCAAGTTGAACACATAAAAAGAGTGGAAGACTTTCCTCAGTTACCAAGTGTCAACTTTAATAGATTCAGAACGGATTGCCAAGCTCTTTGAGCATTACACAGTAAAATGGTGTGAATACTTGGCTAGTTCTTTCCTGAGCTCAGCTGTCTGCACTCTGAGAATGACAGATTTTGATCTGTAATGTTTTAATATCATATATTTGTCTTGGCCCTCTTGCTAAAAGTAACTTAAGTAGTGCCCCCCTCCCCCACACATCACCTGACATCTCTTCCTCTGGGAGACTGCTGCGGGTGACAGTGAGTGGTGAAGTCAGATCTCTCATGACCCAAATCAGGGAGGAGGTGGCCTCTCTTCGGAGACTACCTGTTATCGTAAATTCTTCTAGGTACTCTTCCTTAACCCTGTGCTGCTTTTTGCTCAGAGGGCCCTTTGTATCCTGACTTCCCTGTAGATCTTCTTGGTGTCCATTACTGGGCAAGGTGCCATCATTCTACATTTTGCTTTAATTAATGGTCTCAAAATTCCGTCACATTCATAATGGATTAATTGGGGGAAACTGAGTCCTTGACAGTCTGTGATACACTGTGGGCAATCACAGTGCCTCCTGTAGAAGACTGGTGGGCGGTGCCTGTGCCTACAGCGTTGTATATATTGATACATCCTCAGCAGTTGGCTTTGAAAGAATAGATGGACATCTATTCAGTTTTATAAGGTGCTGGACACATCACTGACTCGATGGACATGAGTTTGAGTAAGCTCCAGGAGTTGGTGATGGACAGGGAAGCCTGGTGTGCTGCAGTCCACGGGGTTGCAAAGAGTCGGGCACGACTGAGCGACGGAACTGAACTGAGACACGTCCTCTCTTCACGTTATCAGTTCTCACCAGAACTCTGCTGGAATGTTGAGCTGGTCGTAGTGGACTTGTCACAGTAAAATGCTCAGTTTCAGCGGAGGCCTGTGTCGTTTTCCATACGTGGAGGGGCTGCACCTGGTATGCTAATTGAGGCTTTGTTGCTGTTGCTAGTGCTGTTGAGATCAAGGGATCAGACCAGGTATGCTGTTAAAGTTCTCTTTCTTTGGGAAGGCCAAGAAATTTCATTTTGGGAATTCCCTGGCGGTCCATTGGTTGGGACCCCACTTTTCCACTGTAGGGAAATAAGCTCCCACAAGCGGCGCACTGCAGCCAAAAATAAATAAATAGAATAAAACAATATAATTTTCAAGTTATAAAAATATATTTGTATCCAAAAACTATTCTCAAGCAAATTTTAACATTTATACCAAATGCTTTGTCTCTGTTTTCATTCTGTGATAGTGTTCTTTGTGGATGAATAGTTTTGTTATAGAGTCAGAGGTTTTAACCAGGGGTGTTTTTTGCTTTGTTTTGTTTTTCTGAGTTTATATAAAAAGTCCAAGCCTGGAGAGCTTCTGCAAGTAACACACCTAACTGGAGGTGCTCGTGTATGGCCTCCTACGGCAGCTTCAGCAAACATAAATCACATTAGGGAACCTATAGCTCTTTTGCTTACTTTGGATTCTAGGTCCTTATTTACTGTAGATAGGATAGTTTTGTGTAAGTTTGAAATCAAACTAATTTCTTTGAAGGGTTGCTAATGAAAACAAAGTTTGAAAAATCGAGAGATCCAGGAAATTGCTTAAGAGTCTGAACATAAAAGATAAAACAGAACCAAGAGGAAGATTTTAAAAATCAAGCCTGGACCTGCAGTAGAGAGGAATGTATGCATTTCTCAAAATGTAAGAGCACTCTGGGAAAAAAAAACTGCATTATAATTAGATTTCTTTTTTTCTTCTTTCTAGGTATCTCATTCAGTTGCTAAACTTATATTAGTTAATTTCCACTGGCAAGTTGCAGAGATACTGGACAGGTAAGGTATTTTGGGGGAGGAAGAGATGGCATTGTCTATAACTTCTCTCTGCCTGCCCATGCAGTGGTAATAATTGTCTGTGTTATGGAGAATATCCTTACAATGTGCAGATTGTATTTTTAAAACACTGGGTCATATTTTATAGCCTTTTTTCTCTCAGTATATTGTGAACATTTTCCAATGTTTTCAGCATATTCTTTCTGTACCCCCAGTTTTAATGGAGGTACAGTATTTTACCATATTGATGTTCCAGCCTACTCCAAACCTCTGTTGTTGGGCAGTGAAGTTAGGTCAGAGTTTTTATGCTATCATTAATGTTAAATCAGTGCCCTTCTAGATAACATTTGGCAGTATCTCCAGTTATTTCTTTCAGACACATCAAGTGGAATAAATACATCATGACATAGTGCTTATTACCTTCAGAAAAAAAGGTCAGCTCATTTACCACCATACCTCCAGAACTGGAGCTCTGATTCCCTTTATGCTTTTTGTTTTGTAGATACAAGTCTAATTCTGCTCAGCTGCTCGTTGAGGCTCGCGTTCAGCCCAATCCATCAAAACATGTGAGTGTGCCCTCCTGATGGACTCTTGCTGTGGCTCACACAGTTATTGAGAACCATCTTACTTTGTTTATAGTGCAGCATGCCCAAGATACTTGTTCTAGTATAGGCCTAAATCTTCCATTTCCGATATCATTTGGAAATTCTCCTCACAGACCAGGAGTGACTCACTGCCCGCCGTCTCCAGCCTCACCTGTCTCCTGCACTTACATACAGCCTGTTCTCTGTTCCTGCTGTGTTCTTGGGGTGCCCACTCACTGCATGCCTCTTTAACCCTGCTGGTGCCTCCCTTGGCTGGGAATGTCCAGATCCTGTCCCCATCTTTACTCGTGAGAATAGAACTCACCTTTAAAGACCCGAATCCAAGCCATCTCTCACAAAACCTGTCTCCTGGGAACACTCCCCTCCAAACTCCTTTAATTATATCTTTTACCTTTACATGTACATTTCAGTGATTCACTCATATCTTTTTAGCTCCCATAGTAGACTGTAAGTGCTTTTTAAGTTTAGGAATCATATCTTACAGTGTATAGCAATTTCCTGTTGCTAAGAGTTCAGTCAGCATTTGTCAAATGAATGGGGGAGAATTAGGGCTCAGATCACCACATAACTTATGCAGCTTCTTAGAAAATTTCCAGGAGCATACTAGACAGAGTATGGTCCTTTTCCTCAAATTATTTTTGGTATTCCCAGTGAACTAACAAGAACCTCATGTTAGGTTTTCACTGGTTTGTGGTTTTGGCTGGTGTCCCCAGACTGTCTTTGCCAGTTTGTGTAGCAGAGTATGGGGTCTGGAGCTGTTAGAGGCTCACACTTCAGCCCCTAAGAATCTATTGGCTGGGTTTATGGTAGTTGTTGAGAAGCAACTCTATGTCATGCTGAATGAGGGCCGTTTTCAAAAGAAACCCAGTAGCCTCCCGAAGAAGGTAGATGGAATGGCCTCTCAGGACCTTGACAGTTCCGAAATCCTGACCTTATAAACTACTGTAAGAGCTCATGTCCATCTTCTCTCTACTTCTCTAAACTCAGGGGTTCACCAAGCCTAGCTCCACTATCACCTCCTTCGAGAAGCCTTCCTGATAATACATTTTTCTACTCAGAACTGGCGCTCACAGAGCCCATACCTGGCAGTTGAGTTCCGACCCTTGTTGCAGGCTGGCTCACATCGCTTACTCCCTGCAGGTGCCCCCGGCCCACTCCCCTCACCACTGCGCAGTGTGTATGCAGTTCGTGCGGAAGGAAAACCTCCTCTCTCTGGCCTGTCAGCACCAGTTCTGCCGCAGCTGCTGGGAGCAGCATTGCTCCGTGCTCATCAAGGACGGTGTGGGTGTGGGTGAGTCCGCCGCGGGGTCATAACAGGCTGCTGGGGACTGTTTAGCTTCAGCCCTGCCCCTGCTGGTACTCAGGTTTTTTTGTGAGCCTAACTGAAGTTTTCAAAATCGGAACCATTGGTTTCCAAACATGTCAGTCTGAAAATGGCAAAGTTTACCCTAGTCCTGAGCAAGATCCAAGAATTAAGGCTAATGTTTGGGCGTTTATGTAAATGCTCGTGTGACGCCAAGACTACCTTCTCTTGCCTTTTGGGAAAACTGTCCTTTAAGCTGCCTACCCTGTCTGTCTTGATTCTCAAAGTGGCAGCCGTACTTCAGAAACTCCTAGAGGGTTTACTGTGATTTAGGTACGCACAAATCAAACTCACTCTGTGATGAGTTAAAGGAGTCTTTGTTAGATTATGACTTCATGATATGAAAAATCAGCATTATATTAATTATATCTGTAAAAGCTCACATATGCTTTTACACATTACCATATGCATGGTAATCACATGCATATCACAAAACTAAGTTGTAAGTCAAGAACCCTCTGGGATTTTTTTTTTTTTTCCCCCCTGGGATTTTTTAAGCATTTTTTTTAAATCGGTGCTATTTGTGATATATACTGTTTAATTGGTTTTAGCTTTTTAGTGTTTTTGTTGTTTGGTTGGTTTTGGTTTTCATGGGTTGGTTGGTTTGTTTTTTCTTTTTGTTGTGCTGTGTAACTTATAGGAACTTAGTTCCCTGACCCAGTGCTCTGGCAGTTAGAGTGCAAAGTCTTGACCGCTGTACCATCAGGGAATTCCCTGTCATTTAAAAATTTGTAATAATATTTTAGTTGCATCACTATGTAAATATATTGATTTCTCTCTTCTTTGAATAAATTCTGATGCTTCCGGGGTTCCCTGTGTAAAACGTGAATTTGTTGGGTGAACTCAGCAAATACATTATAGGTGTGTCTTCTGTGATACAGTTGTCCATCCGGTTGTCTTTGTTCAACAGGTGTCTCTTGCATGGCTCAGGACTGCCCACTTCGAACACCAGAGGACTTCGTGTTTCCATTGCTGCCCAATGAAGAACTGAGAGATAAATACAGGCGCTACCTCTTCAGGGACTATGTGGAGGTATGCCCAGCCGCTGCTGTGCCTGGTCTTCCTGAGCCCGCTTCTCATCAGATGCTCACCAGTTACTCTACAGAGGAGGCTGCCAGTAGATGCTTTCCATCTGAAGGAAGAGCTGCACAGCTTTTACAAAGTTTGAAAACTCTAGAGTACTAGTAAATCCCAAGTCTGTTTCTTCCTCACTCTGTATCCTTTGAGCCCTTATAGTCCTTCTCTGAGCCTTGGTTTCTTTCTTGTATAGAATGGTCAGGCACGCCCACTTTGTGAAAGTGAAAGTCACTCAGTCATGTCCCACTCTTTGCAACTCTGTACAGTCCATGGAATTATCCAGGCCAGAATACTGGAGTGGGTAGCCTTTCCCTTCTCCAGGGGATCTTTCCAACCCAGGGATCAAACCCAGATCTCCTGCATTGAAGGCAGATTCTTTACCAGCTGAGCCACAAGGGAAGCCGCACACCCCCCTGCCCCGCCCGCCCCAATACAGAGTTATTTAAACAAGCTATTGTATGTAGGGGGATAAACATAAGTCAGGCATATCTCAGGAGTTGCTGTTCTATTCCCTTCATTGTGTGAGTCAGCCCAAAGAAGGGGTGTTGCTTCTTGGGCGATTTGGCAATTTGTTCGAGTTCTCAGAGTGGTCAGTTTTGGAGTCCTTCCCCTCTGTTGGGCTACCTATTCAGGCTTGCTGGTTCCACACAGCATAATTTTGATCTTTGCCTTTTATTCCTAAGCTTATTGGATTGAATGATGGTCTGGGTCGTCTCATGCACAGGCTGCAGGAAAAACAAAAGGCCTTGTTCCTGGTGCTGTTTGCTGCCTTTGGTTTGGGTTGTTGAGCCCCTCAGAGTCTCATGCACAACTGACTGGGCCCTGTTCCTTTCCAACCCTAGTCCCTATGTACTTTCATCTCAGAGACACAATTCTGTATTCCATTCTGTCATCTAAGCTTAGGTCATTCTGGTGAGTTGTTCCCTGGTTTAAGCTAAACATTCAAAGGGCATTTTAAGGACCTGCCTAATGTCTGGTCTTCATGACATCTGTCATGAATTCCTGTAGCCTCTTGATGGAAGAACAGGAGGCGTTTGAGTACTCAGGGAGGTCTAATTTGGAGGACATGGGGATGGTCCTAATTTGGAGGACTAATAGGACAACTAGGGGATGTCCTCATTGTTCCCCCCTTGGTATGTTCACAGAGTCACTACCAGCTCCAACTATGCCCTGGTGCAGACTGCCCCATGGTTATCCGGGTACAGGAGCCCAGAGCTCGCCGAGTACAGTGCAATCGGTGCAACGAGGTCTTCTGGTAAGAGTGAGTGTGGGTGCCGAGCAGCCCTGGCGGGTGCCTTCTCCTCCTCTCAGCATCACTGCTGTGGCTCTTGTGAGGGCAGGGCTGGGAGAGGCAGGACCTTTGGGCCAGAAGAGCAGCGCTGTTCCACGTGGGCAGATGTTTGATGATACTCGGTCTGGAGACAAGAAGGAGACACAGACTCTTGGAGAATGTGCTGGGGTTTATGTTGCTAAGATTCAGGGCCCAGAGACTGCGTGTCTGTGTGGATGTAGATTTATCTGCACAGAAAATTCACATATTGCCGTATATGAAAGCTCCAGCCACCAGCACTTTAATCTTTCTCTCTGTTGGCCATTCTAATTTTATAACACTGCAATTCATAAATGTGGTTTACATCTATCTGGGGTTTACTCTATTCAGTAAACATGATGGAACTAGCTGAAGCATACTGAAGGCTTATCAGCAGAGCCACTCTCTCCTGACCACTTTCCCTTCATTGTCACAGCAACTGCGTGTGATCGGTACTGCTGTTCCCCTTACTTATAGGTGAGGAAAGCGAGGTGCAGGTAATGGCAGAGCCTTCATGTAGGTCCAGACCTGCTCCCTGTTTGCACCTCGCTGGAAGAGTCACAGTGGGGCTTCAGGAAAAGTAGGGAGAAAATGGGGTCCGTGTGCATATGTGCCTGCCTTTCAAGGCATGGTTGAGGGAGTCTGTGACTCAACAAACGTTAAGAACCACTAATGCAGTTGCTCTCCACCCTTTGTGTCCCACGTTAGGGCCGTCTTTCCCTGGGACATTTGGTAGGCTACCTGCCTGAGAGCCTTTATCCAGAAAGTCATGTTGGCTTGGACGGAAGGGGAATTAAAAACACAGGAGCCTGGCCGGATGAGTGTCAGAGTTTTCCTTTTCTGATTCTAAGTTTCGGTCTCATCAGAGGTAACGTGCCCCTCACAGACTACACAAGTGCTAACAGCGTGCATCCGGTAGGAACCTCGAACTCAGATAAGCCAGGGCTCCCAGGCCTGGATCTCTGCCTTGGATAGGAGTTGAGTCCTCTTTTCAGAATACACCCCCGAGCCCTTTGAAAATCTGAGTTCTGAATTTGATATCCTGTTAGGAAGGATTGACATCACCTAAGATATTTAAAACAAACGTCTCATTTGGGTTTATTGAGAGAAGTCCCCCAGGACTTCAGAATAATCCTGGGTAAGTCAAGGTCTCGGACGCCGCGAGAGGCGAGTTTTTACCTCTTGGAAAAGCTCTAATTCCAGATCTTTTGGCTTGGACAGAAGGAAAAGGAAAAACACAGGATCTGACCTAATGGTTATCTTTTCTGGTTTTAAGTTTCAAGTGTCGTCAGATGTATCACGCCCCCACAGACTGCGCCACAATCCGGAAATGGCTCACGAAGTGTGCAGACGACTCTGAAACAGCCAACTACATTAGTGCCCACACTAAAGACGTAAGGACTGTATCTTACCTGTCATGGGTCTGCCCTCCCTAGTGCCACCCAGGGCCGCGGGGCTCGTGATGGAGGTGGCAGACCCTTGCCCCGGTGCGGCAGAGTTTGCAGCAGTTTATCTTAGCATGCACCAGGTGCCTTTCTTTTAATGAAATGCTAAAATGCTTGGAGAAGTTTGGCCCACAGGAAGACTCATTAGATAGCAACTAGGTTTTACTGAATGCCTCCCCAACGTTAACAGCCCTGGGAGGGAAGTGGTTGACAGCCACATCAAATAAGTAGCAAAACTCTAATGCAACCCCAGGCCTGCCCAGTTCTCATTCTGGAAACGTCCCATGGGAAAGCATGGCCCGAAGTCCCTAGAGTTGCGCATGACTCAGCACTCGGGCCCTAGCCGGTGCCAGTCACACGCTGAGGCGAGGCGCCCTGCAGCGCAGCTGTGAGCATGACATCATGAAGTAAGGCCCTCTTCATGGCCGTGAAGCGCCCGGCGTCAGACTGGTCCCCACTCTGTCTGGGGCTGCTGGCGTCTCTCAGATGGGAGTGAGCTTTGGAGGTGATTTCCATGCCCTCTTCTGGAAGTCGAAGTTCAGGCAGGCTGAGCGGGCCCCAGTCCAGGGTGGCAGCTCGTAGGCTGCACTGCCGTTCCTCTCAAGTGGCCAGCTTTTTACTGACTCAGCTTGAGCTTAATCTGAGCGGCCTCCTGGCAGGGACAGATGGTGGCAGACTTAGCGGGGCTCAGCCTGGAGTGTTTCAGGGCCAAACCTGCTGACCTCATTTCCTTGAATTGCTGTTCCAGCCTCAGCGAACCGCCACATTTAAGTGAGAGGCTCCTCCCCAGAAGTGCTCGCACGATGAGCTGCTGGGCACGGGTGCCAGGAGCTTTGTGTAATTTGTCTTAGAGCCGGCCTGCTGGTGCGTGAGCCTAACGGCGCCCTTCTGTCTCCTCAGTGTCCCAAGTGCAACATCTGCATTGAGAAGAACGGCGGCTGCAATCACATGGTGAGCAGAGGCCTGTACGTTTTGCTTGTGTGACCTGAAGCCTTTGGTCAGCGTGCCCTTAACATGTTCTCTTCTGTTTCCCTCCGACAGCAATGCTCCAAATGTAAACACGGTGAGTCCCAAGCTTGGTGCACCAGGCCCAGTGGCACAGTCTCTGTTTCTTGTGCATGGGTCTCCACTGCTTTTTTTTTCCCCCCACTGCTTTCATGATACAGTGATCAAACAGGGTGGCTTCCGTCACTTACAGTCATGAGGACCAGAGTACAGCAGCTCTGGATTTGCTGATTTATTATTTCTTGGTCCCTTAAATAATCCTGCCACCAACTTTGGGATGGCTCTTACACCCTCACAAATCCTCAGTCATCCAAGAAGAATGTTTTAGTGTGTTCTTTTGATTTTTGCCAAGGCAGGTAAGTAGCATGGGGCTTTTCTGTGCTGTCTGATGGACACCATTTAGAGCAGGCTGCCCATGGTTCTCCTGGAAGCAGTCAAATCCTAGTTTGCCTTTGAGGTATTATAAAAGTTTTCAGAGAGGGTTTCTGGCCTCCTTCATCTGGCCGGTGTAGGTTCCACAGAACCGTTGGTTTTGCTTTCCTTCCTGCCAGATCAAGTAAAGAGAAACTCCTTCAGGTAGAATGTATGTCCAGATAGACTTCTTCCACAGCTGCTGACATGCCGCCCAGCTGGCCCTGAGAGCTTCTCTTTGTAAGAGCCTGGCCACTGCTGTCCCTGGGTCCTCCCAGGATCACACTGTAATCAGAGTAGTCAAGGCGAGGTTTTAGAAGGGAACGGTGATGCCGAAGTGTAGTGGTGTGTTTCCTCGGTGAAATTCCACCCTGTCTTCTCTGCATGTGTTTGAATGAGAGGGACGTGCACAATCCCCTTAGAACAGTGCGTAAGGCATGCAAAGAGTTTAAAGAGAAATGCCCGAGTGCACACCCAAGTACCCACCACAGGCCTGGTATTGCAGAGTCCTTGGTGTGTCCTCTCCCCATCCTTTACTGGCCAGAGTTAACTACCATCCCTCCTGTTGCTGAATAGTTTTACCACCTGGATGGGCAACCCTAAGCAATGTAGCAGTATTTAAGACAGCAAACACAACCTAGCTGACTGAGGCGAAAGCTGTATTGCACTGTTCCGTGAAGCCTCCCAGAAGAGAAGTGAACGACCTCTGGGTCTAGCTTTTGGCTCTAGCTTCCCCAAGTTTTACACAAACCCCGAGAAAGTCAGTGAGCCAGCTTATGAGAGTGAATCATGGGAAACAGTGATTACTGCTGTCTGGGTCTCTGGCAGTCAGAACACACAACCGTGGTTGGCCCCTGTCCATTAAGGCACACAGTAATTGTTCAGATATATAGCATCCATAGGGGATCTCTGTTTTTCCCTCTTGGCTTCCTCAGTGTGGAAACAGTCATAATTCTGGGCATGAACTATTGGGTAGCAGTGGGTTTGATAAAAATCTGTTTCTTCTCTTTTTTTGTTGTTTGTTGTTGTTGTTGTTTTGGTCACACTGGCTTGCAGAATCTTAGCTCCCCAACCAGGGATTGAACCTGGGCCCTGGCAGTAAAGGCACTGAGTCTTGACCACTGGACCACTGGGGAATTCCCATAAAAATGTGCTTTTTAAGAAAGAAGAAACAGGGCAGGGAAGTCTTCATCCCCAGTTTCATGTACAACACCTAGGAGGTGTTGAGAGTGGGATGTCGACAGGAGGGCAGAGGTGTTTTCTGAATGGCCAGGTGGGCCTCAGTCGGACAGGTTGTTCTGCTGCTGCGGAGGCATTGACACAGCAGACCCGTGGCCTCTGTACGGTCAGCGTCTGCCTGTATTGGATTAAAAAGGCACTAAGCGTATGCGTTCTTGAAACTGAGACCACCTGCAGGCTGTCGTTCAGATCGGCAAGGACCGGCTGCGGGGACCGTGGGCCATGACAGGCCTGGGACGTGTCCGCGCCCTCTGTAAAGGGGTGGCCGGGGAGCATCCTGTCCAGGTGATCCCCGGAGCCGGCTCTGTCCGGCCTCCTGCGCCGCCTGTGCCTGTGGAGGAACGTGGGCCTGCGTCGTGTGTGTCAGTGCTGCGTTCTCTGTCCCTGCAGACTTCTGCTGGATGTGTCTAGGAGACTGGAAGACCCACGGCAGCGAGTACTACGAGTGCAGCCGGTACAAGGAGAACCCCGACATCGTCAACCAGAGCCAGCAAGCCCAGGCCAGGGAGGCCCTCAAGAAGTACTTGTTCTACTTTGAGAGGGTAGGCGTCCTCTCCTGCACCTGCTTCTCGAGGGTAGGCTTCTTCCACTTGGCCCTGCTGGGCAAAACTCCCAGTGACCGGTAGCTGCAGCGGCGCATGCACACCGGAGTCAGGGCGTGGAGCGCCGGCCGGCCCGAGTGCTGCCTCCAGGTGCGGCTCTCAGGCTCCCCAGGGCGGGCACAGCCAACAGGGAAGGACCCGCCGACCCTGTGTGATGCTGAATTGTGAAGGATAAGGAAGGACCATCAGGTGGTCTTTATCCATTCAGTGCCACGTTTGTTGTTTGTCTTTAATTGAGGTATAACTGGCTTACAATGTTCTGTAACTTTCAGATGTACAACGTAGTGATTCAGAATTTTTTTAAGGGTTATACTCCATTTATCATTATTATAAAATACTGGTTACATTCCCTGTGCTGTTCAGGGTATCCTTGTAGCTTATTTATTTCACACACAGTAGTTTGTATCTCTCAGCCCCCAGCCTGCATCTTGCCACATCCCCCAATCCAGTGCTGTCTTAATAGTCAGATTCAGAAGGCAGTTTTCCCCAGAAGCCCACAGAGCATGGAACCTTTGGTTTCTAAGCACAAGAGACCAAGAGACCTGGGAGTACCTAGCTTTGCTTTGTCCTCAGGGCTAGAGTCCTGTTGCTCTAAGTGGGTAGAGTGATCTGGCAGGTACATAGGGGCTCTAGACAGGGTTGGTAGTGTGGACTGAGGAAGCCGCCTCGTGCGCTCCCAAGGACACACAGCCCCCATCAGCTAGACAAGGCTGTGACCATTCTGAACAGCTTTTGAATCCCTGCACCTTCCTGCATGCCTGCAGCTTTCTCTCTCCTCTGACCCCATAGTGGGAAAACCACAACAAGAGCTTGCAGCTGGAGGCACAGACATACCAGCGGATTCACGAGAAGATCCAGGAGAGGGTCATGAACAACCTGGGGACCTGGATCGACTGGCAGTACCTCCAGAACGCTGCCAAGCTCTTGGCCAAGGTTTGTCCCCCTCAGTCTTCCCATCCCTAGTTCTCTGTGAGGCCCAGGCCTCTGAGGGTGGGAGGTGCTGTCGAGGGCAGGGCTCACCCCCTGTGAAGTCCTGCATGTGCCACATCTTCCTGGGCTGTGTCCACTGAGGACCCTGCCCTCCCCGGATATCCAGGGCACTCAGTATTCCAGTGCCTCTGCCTGCGGGGACAGAACCACAGGGAAAATGAGAGCCCTTCTCTTCTTTTGTCCCATCCATGCATCACTCAGAGGAAAATAAGAGATTGTCTTTGGACAAGTATTGAGATAGATGTGTGGACTCTGAGGTCTGACTCAAGAGGGAAGAGCCGTTGAGGCAGCTGCTGGTAATAAATCCCAGTGTGGAGAGGAACCATGGGTGTTCTGTAACCATTTCTGTTTCAGTTTTTGCCATGTTGTCCCCCAGTTCATCTTTTATTTGCCTTGGCCTCATCTCTTTCAGGCCAGTTCCCGTAGAGCCAGGCTGATTTGCATGGTGGGGTAAGGCCTGTATCAGCCCCGTGAGGTCCATGGAGTTAAGAGTCATAGACACAGATCCCTTGTCTTCTGTTGCAGTGTCGATACACCCTGCAGTACACGTATCCATACGCCTACTACATGGAGTCCGGGCCCAGGAAGAAGCTGGTAAGGGAAGCCATCCTTCTGCTCTGCCCTCTTAGCTTCAGAGGGGCCTTCTCTGCCCACACCTTGCAGGCAAGCAGGGACCAGACCCCTGGTGGCTGGGAGGGCAAAATCAAAACAAAACTGGCCACTGAAAAATTTTGATCCCCGGGCCCCAACTAGGCATTTCCAGAGTGGATCTCAGGTACTGCCGTTTCATGTAATAGGAAGGCAGGTGTACTGAAGCCGTTAACAGCTATATTTTTTAGGGTGGCTGACTGAAAATATCCGTGACCACTTGGGAACCAGTGCTTATGTTTTGGGAGGATACCCAGCATGCGTGTTCCTAAATACTGTGGCATTCATTTGCATCTTTGTGTAATTTTCATCTTAGATAGGGGTTGTTTCCTCCCCAATTATAAGGTGATTCACACTGATTGTTCAAATGTTGAAAAAATTAGGAAAACATTTACATCATCCATGACCCCCCCAGAAAGAAATGAGCACTGTTAGCATTTTGCAGCCTTTGAAAATTAGTACTGTTTCTATAATCACAGTTATATATATGACATTTTTTGTTACAACAGTTTTTGCAGCTGTCATTATTCAACATGCTAGAAAATGCCATTTTTTAATAGTTGCATAGATGTCCCATTATATGGTCGTACCATCATTTGAGGCGTTTATTCTTTCTGTTTTTCACTATCACAAATAAGACTTTGGGAAACCTCTTTGTGCAAGAGGTGTATACTTACTAAGTCAAATGGTTTGAAAATTTTGAAGACTCTTGATTTTCAGAAGGGCTGGAAAAAAACAAAGTATTCAGTGAGCACAGAGTCTGTGAATGTCCACTTTGACTTGTTTTTGCAGCGGCCATTTCCCCGTATGTCGGGAGCACTCTCCTCTGTGGCTTCAGTCCTTCCCCTTTCTCTGAGGGTGGAGGGCGAGTGCAGCCTGGCCACGTGGCTGTCCTCCGCAGGCAGCTGCTGGGCCGGCCTCTGGCTCTGGGTGCAGGAAGTAGGACTGCCCTCTGAGGACAGCACCCGGGCTGTCTGGAGCTCCTGCGAGCCTGAGGTGCTGCCTCTGCCCCTCCCGTCTGCAGGCCCTGCCCTGGCTACCGTCCCCACTCCTTTTGACCTTCCTGCTCTACCCATACAGTTTGAATACCAGCAGGCTCAGCTGGAGGCTGAGATTGAAAACCTGTCGTGGAAGGTGGAGCGGGCGGACAGCTATGACAGAGGGGTAAGTGACTGCTGTCCTCAAGGACCCCCTGGCAGGCAAGGGAGAGCTGGTGTGGTGATCGGTCCCATGGTGGCTGGCCTAGGGGCTGGAGGCTGCCACTGAGAAGGGTGGGGAGGGCCGTGCTTTTGACTCCTGGGAGCCCGTGGCAGGGGGCGGCTTCAGCTAGCCCATCCTCATGGGCCTGGGCCATGCAAGCCCGTGTCTTGCTTCCCTGGTGCAGGACTTGGAGAACCAGATGCACATAGCGGAGCAGCGGAGGAGAACGCTGCTAAAGGACTTCCATGACACCTAGGCTGGGACTCGGGCGTGCCGGCTGAGGGCGATGTGGCTGCGAGGTCTCCCGGCTGCCGTGCTGCACGCTGCAGGCTCCCTGCCTCTCATCACCCCAGGCAACAGCCAGGACCCCACTCCTGAGAGACACTGGCCACACACCTCTTAGTCGATTTCTGGTTGTTGTTTTTTTTCCCCCCCTCCTCTTTTTGCTTTTTGTTTCCACCAGGGTAGAGGCCCCATTGAATTGGCCTCTTCTCAGGACCGTCAGTTCCCCCTGGATAGTTGCTGGGAGGGAAGGAAAGTTTTTTCTGAATGACTATTAATAGTATTAGATCATTACAACTTATGTAATTTTCAAAGGCTGTACAATTATACAAAAAAAAAAAAACAAAACCGGGGGGCAAACAAACCATAGAATGACACAGAACCCTTTTTAAAAATAAACTGGCATTGGAGTGTTTTACCCTCTAGCTATTTTACTTAGAACGTAACATACGCTGTCCGCCCCCCTTGCCTCAGGATGTCTGCTGCACAAGGGCTCCGGGTGGTACTTGCTTTCCAGATTCACACGCCTTTGGCCACAGCTGGAGCCCCAAGTAAAGAGCATGGGTGGCAGATGGTGGGAAATGGGGTTGGCCTGTGTAACACCGTGGTGTGCAGAGAATCACGCCGTGCCTTCTGCCTGGTCCTTGTAGACCCTTCTGTGATCAAGGGTACTGCCTCACCTTGGCAGTTAGGAGACAATACAGAACAGAATCTTGCCCCCAGGTATCATCATGTCCAATGGCACTGCGTGTCTGTGGACTCACTTATCCTGAAAGTGAGCTTTACCAGGGCCTGGCCACTCAGGCTAGAGCACAGCAGAGCGCATGGATGAGCTGTGGCCCTCCAGCACAGGGGACGTGAGTTCAGCACAGTTTTCTTTTGTTTCCTGAAGAGAGAGATCCACTTTTAAAGGGATTCCCCCAAAGACTTGTTTTACCTTGGCCCCTCCTTTTGTGCCAGTGTCCCGTGGAGGGACTCCAACCAGGTTCACACACAGCCGTGCATGGCGCTGGCCTGCTGCGCGCTCCTCTGGTGAATGTCAAGGTCAGAGTTCAGCAGCGCTATCCCTAGGGCTCTGGTCTGCCCGGCTCAGGGGCTGTGTCTGCACAAATTGTTTTCATGCTAACCCGGAGTGTTTGTCTCCATGACTTGCTCTGGGTGTGGGGTGCGCTCCCCCTCGCCTGGCTTCCGGTGTTGGAGGGCACCACCTCTGGGGTCTGGAGTCTGAGGCTAGTGGGGGGTTCCTAATTGGTGATCCCTGCTCCTGTTCCAGGAGGCTGGCCAAGGAAAAAGGCCAGTCTTTTCACAGTGCAAAGGAACAAGCAGTTTGCATGGTATCCTACTTGTCCTGAACCTGGTCCTGTGGGCCTTTCCGAAGTGACATCTGTGATTCCCGGGGTTCCTGCGGCTCTTGTTCAGGGCCTCCTTGACCTCCTGGAAGAGTTGCTTGGAAATCTGTGAATAAATATTGTGTTGGAAATTCTTTGATATTCCAACATTTTCACCTCAGTCAGTAATCCCCCCAGGTACCACGTTAGTTGCAAACTGAATCTCTCTTGGAAGACAGAGGACAGTTGTAACTCTTGGGGTCATGGGGTCCATGGTTGGCTGCAGGCCCTGTTTCTCCCCAGTCAGGTTTTGCCTCTTCCTGTCATCTCCTGCAAGGAAGGGACCATGGGGTGGAATGAGAGGACAAGTTAGTATAACAGACGAACCCAGAATTGGCAAGCGCTGAGCCAACCGAAGGACGAGAGTGTCCACCTAGAGGTGGGGTATGACTGCTTTTTTGGCACATGGAAGATCCCAGTGTCTGGAATGTTCACCTCTCCGTTGAGTCCCTTGGGTGTCACCGCCATGGCAGCAGCAGGACCGGAATTGCAGCTCTGTTCCTTAAATCCCACCCTGTGCATTGTTTGGACTGTGTAACTACCACACAGTGTACTTGCAGTCAGCTGTGACCCCCAGCCACCGGAGCAGCAAGAGGTTCTGTGCCCAGACTGCAGCCTGCAGCCCTTGACCTGTGGAAAACTTCCTTCCATGCCCCAAGTGGCTGTCTCTTGCTAACATCATCAGGAACATGGAAAAGTTCACGCAGAATGTTTCTGCCCTGCAAAGGAAGGCACAGTGTTTTCACAAATTTACCATATATCTTTGTTTTCTTCAAAGAAAAAGTTGAGGCAATGTCATCTGCTCAAAGTTGAGTGGTTTATTAAAAATAAACTGAAAGTTTCTGATTATAAAAGTGCGTGTGGCATCTAGAACTTATTTTGTTGGACAGTGGTTTCTCTAGTATCCTAAGGAGATTGACAAAAGGGTGACTTGACTGACTGGATGAAGCCATGTACGGGACACTGATGAAACCTGCCATTGTGTATAGAATCTTCAAGAGAAGGTGGGCCTGCCCCACTGAGAAGACCAGGAAACTTTTCTTTTACACTTTTCTTTTCTGAGAGGAAGTTGAAGGGGGAGGGGAGCCTTAACAGGGTAAGGAGAAACCACCTGTGGGGACCGGGGACCGTGTGAATGACGTTGCTCTTGTCTGCATATCTCGGTGAGGGGGCGGGGCGGGATGTGGAGCAGAGCACACACACAAAAAAAGCTTTGGTATGTCCTCTCACCTCCATATTTGGGCATAAGCTGAGTTTAACTTGCTTCCAAGACGTTTAAGACTCACTTATGGAAAAGTCCTGTTCTCCCTTTTCGAATGTGGCAGCGGTGAGGCAAGGAGTGTTGCCTGTGCACCCGCTGCGTTCCTGCAGGTTACTGTTAGGGGTGCCAAGGGTTCCTCCAGGAAGCCCTCTGGGGCCGCTCCAGGCCGGGTCCCCTGGTCTATGGGTCCCCGCACATCAGGCAGTTGCTTCCTAAGACCTGACTCCTGCAGACGTCCCTGGGAGGCTCACACCTACCGCAGAGTAGACCTTCAAGGTGCTCTTGACCTCCTGCACTGGCGAGCGTCAGTGTCGCCATGGGTCCCACACCTCGCTTGCGCAGTCATCGGCCTCCAACCCGCCGCAGTACTAAGTCATATTTTGGCCCAGCCTCCTTGTTGCCACCCCACTCCGGGAACGACAAAATGCAGACCATACTTTTCCCGGAAGAGGGAAGTGCGTTTTAAAAAGGAGAAAACTGCCACTGGGGTTACCTGTACCTGTGCATCTACGTTTGTGGGGGGCGCGGCTTCTGCCCTGGGGAGTGTGCATCTCTGCCTGATAATAACCCACCTCAGGAAAGAGACACTTCAGTGTGGGTCGGGGTCCAGGGCCGGGAGATCTCGAGTGCAGCGCGGGCGCGGCGTCCCCTGGCACCCTCTCCCGGCGACCGCGGCGCGCGCGGGCTCCGCGACCGTTGTCCTGGCGACGGCGCGGCGCGTGCGACCCCGCGGCCCCTCCCCTGGGTGCGCGCGCAGCCTGGGCGCCATGGCGGCGGCGGCGGCAGGCCCGCGGCCTCAAGCGGCGAGTCCGCAGTGGCCGCCACGGCATCACGACCCGGCGGAGGCTGCGGCGGGGCTGGGCGACTGCGAGGACGCACCGGTCCGGCCGCTGTGCAAGCCCCGCGGCATCTGCTCGCGCGCCTACTTCCTGGTGCTGATGGTGTTCGTGCACCTGTACCTGGGCAACGTGCTGGCGCTGCTGCTCTTCGTGCACTACAGCAACGGCGACGACAGCAGCGCCCCCGGGCCCCAGCGCCGCGCCCAGGGCCCCGGGCCCGCGCCCACCTTGGCTCCCCTCACCCGGCTGGAGGGCATCAAGGTGAGGCCCTGCACCACCAAGCCCGAAGCGGCCGGCGCTCTTGCCGGCGGCTCCACGCTGCTCCGTGCGCTGCCCCCGGCCCGCAGCGCGCACCCCCTCACTCGCCCGCCGCCGCCACCCGGGCCCAGGCTCCTCTTCCCTCCTCCTCCTAGCTGCCCGCTGTGCCGCTTTCCCTTAGGTGGGGCATGAGCGCAAGATCCAGCTGGTCGCCGACAGGGATCACTTCATCCGAACCCTCAGCCTCAAGCCGCTGCTCTTCGGTAAGTTCGCCGGGAGCCCCCCGGGAAGGGCCAGGGGCTGCGATTCGGTGGCTGCCTTCAGGCTCCTTTGACCACGTGACTTCTGTTTTGAAAATGGCTCCTTCAAAGTAGCCCTGTCTTTTCCAACCATAGGTTGACCCCAAGTGAGGCACCCGCCCCCACCTCCAAAATAGGGTGACGAGGTGACCTTTCCTTCTGTGACTTCTACTTTCTGCAGCTAATCCTTCCATCACAGGGCTGGGCCATGTGACCTAGAAGCTAGTGCCTATAAACCTTTCATTGAAACTGTCTTTGGACGCTCTCCTCTCCGCAGTGGTTAATTCTGTCACATTCTGGAATGGGGGAAGGGTCGGAGAGACTGATAACCAGGTCCTAGCTGATATGAGGGGGGAATTCCACTCCCAAAGTGGGCCCTCCGGTCTGATAAGAAGCAGGCTGTCCAAATGTGGATAACCTGGTGCCCCCAAAACCAGCCTTTGCTTTCTGCGCTCTGGGATTCTTCTTAGGATGGCGTTTTGTGTTCGGCCATTACAGTAGGCAGAGCCTTCCAGGGTGGCCTCACTGGGAACCGGCACCATAGCTCACATTTTCTGAGCTCTTGTTATGTGCTAGACTTCATGTGATCGTTTGGCTTGATTGTCACATCCCCTGTGAGGTGGATGGAGGCCCCACTGTCAGGCTAGTGGAGGTGAAAGTGAGGCAGAGAGCCCCGCTTGCTTGCAGACTCACACAGCCAAACCAAGGTGAGGCTGGGATTCAGACGAGGCAGGCTTCCCCCAGTGTCTGCACTGTTGAGCCAATGTGCTAGTTGTGAAGACTCTGAAGTCCTTCAGAGTCTAGTAGTATCAACAAGATGGGAGTCCCCGGACCTATGACCTTACCCAGGATAGGTTTTCCCAGCCCCTGTCCTGGGTCCCCAGCCTCAGTGATACACTTGCCTGCAGACCGGAGGTGTTCTTGGCTCCTGGGGTACGGAGTGAGTAAGGGGCTGTCAGGAGGGGCCTGGGGACTGCAGTAGAGCGTCTGAGCACCGCTGTCACCCCTGGGCCAGAAGGCACTGGTTGGGGATTATCCCTAGACCTGTGAGAATGATTTCATACGCACGCTATTTGAGAGGAAGTAGGTTAGGATGTCGGAGAAGGCACCGGCGACCCACTCCAGTACTCTTGCCTGGAAAATCCCATGGACGGAGGAGCCTGGTAGACTGCAGTCCATGGGGTCTCTAAGAGTCGGACACGACTGAGCGACCTCACTTTCACTTTTCACTTTCATGCACTGGAGAAGGAAATGGCAACCCACTCCACTGTTCTTGCCTGGAGAATCCCAGGGACGGGGGAGCCTGGTGGGCTGCCGTCTATGAGGTCGCACAGAGTCGGACACGACTGAGCGACCTCACTTTCACTTTTCACTTTCATGCACTGGAGAAGGAAATGGCAACTCCAGTACTCTTGCCTGGAGAATCCCAGGGACGGGGAAGCCTGGTAGGCTGCTGTCTACGGGGTCGCACGCACAGAGTCGGACACGACTGACACGACTTAGCAGCAGCGGCAGGTTAGGATGTGAGTCCTATGGTGGGAGGGGCTCTCAAAGATTGTTATTGTACAACGCTCAAGTCTGTGCAAAGCACTAGTTGAGCTGCTGGGAACACAGCATTGGACAAAATAGGAAAACAAAAAGAAGACCTGAAGCTGACATTCCAGTGAGACTGAACAAGCACACTTGCTGTTGTCCGATGGTGCTAAGTGATCACAGACAAGTAAGGCAGAATTTCAGCTGGGGTTGAAACTCTTGAATATGGTGGCCAGGGTGGGCCTTCCTGAGAA